AATGACATCTGGTAGTGGCAGGCGCTGGAAAAGCTTGATGAACCTTCCCACAAAGATAATAACAAGTTTCTCCTTCTGAACCAGCACTTGTCGGAAGTAATAACAGTGGCTCAGACCGCAATCCAGTTTAAAGGAGGAATACCTAACATATACTAGCTCCAAACATTTTAAAAGTAAGAACGAACACAAAATAAAAGCCATAGTCCAAGTAAGAAAATAAATGAACTTGGGATTCTTTTCAGCTCTCCCAGTGTAAACTATTAGCCTGTTAGAAAAAGGAAGTGAAGCATTTGGTTGTCTTGAAGAACAGACTCTTGGTTTTTGCCAACCACATTCTTATTCACAGCTGTCCTGAAAAGACCATTTGGTTGGTGTCTTATTCCTCTGTAAGGCCTTCTGAGTAAACATTTAGAGATTTTAAAAAATTACTGGCAAGTTAGAAAAAGAAGTATCTAATTTTAACAGGACTAATTTTCTCCTTCAACACTTCTACAAATTGTTTTTCACTACTTTCACACTGTCCAAATAGAATCTATCCTGGCCTCTAGAGATGAGTCAGAGAGCTAGAATTCATGGCAAGACTAGCCTTGAGTCAACAGAGTGAGCACCTATCCTACTGTGATTATCCCCTGAGATTCTTGAGCTAATGACATTAAAGAAGGGTTCATTAAGACAGTGCCTAACCTTCACCAGCTGTACTTGATCTGACTGTTCCCCTGGTACAGGTCAGCCACAATTGAGCTGACAATGAGGCCAGCCAATTTCTAACAAAAGCAAGGAGTCAGATTTATGGCTCTTTGAAGCAGGTCAGCATACACTTATTTTTCTGTCTCCCTCTGACAGGTCGCACTCAGGCCCTTGGGGTTGTGGAATGGCGCTAAGGCAGGCATTCCCACCCAGAGCTTCCCCCCAAGCACAAAGCTCTGAGCCCAGAAAGCGAATGGTTATTCAAGAGTAGCTGGGGAAAAGCTCCAAGGGTGTTCAGTTCCTGGCACTGACAGATGTACAATTATGTTGACATATCCACCCAGCCCTCATAGAGCAGGTGCATGAAGCAATCTTTTCATTTCATCCTACCAACTTTAGCAAGTTGAACTGTAATTATGGAAGCATCAGAAAACTATATCTGCCTACTAAAATTGTGGTCATGGGCTCCCAAAAGCATCTTATTCTTTCCCAGGTTAACAGAAGACAGGGAATTTCTTTAGAGTAAATCAAATCTATTTCCAACTCAGTGATCCCTGATACCAAGGCCTCAGGTACTCTTCCTACCCATCCAATAAAGATGGCACCTGGGGTGAACTGAAAACACTGCTCCAATTCTAGAGCCCCAGGGGTCTCTTTCATTTTTTCTACTCATTCATTAATAAAGGGTTTATTATAAACACCACGTGGCCTGTGGACCCTGAGAGTTATAAAAAGTTTTTATTTTCATCAACCAGAAAGAAAAGTCATTCTTAAGACTCAACAAACAGGGAGATTCTTCAAAAAGAAGCTGCCAATGGCAATCCTCAGTTTACACTGAGCTGCTTATCTTATCTTTCAACTCTGCTTCTTTCATGCCTTAATGATACTGGTCTCAAATCAGTTAATGCTTTCACTCAACACAGCCTCCAGCTCAATAGGAGGATCTTGGAAAACTCCAGGATCACCTACTAAGAAATACATTTTAGTAAATGAGGCACCTGGATTTGAATCCCAGCTCTACCTCTCACCATTGGGCTAGTTACTTAGCACCTAGGAGCTTTTGTTTTCTTATCAAAAAATGAGATGATACATGTAAAGTACTTGGCGGCACACCTGGCACATAGGAACAGTTAAAAAAGAATTCTGGTATATACCCAATCTCATCACTTTCAGAACCTCAAGTAGGCCCGTCTTTAAAAATAAATAAATCTATATTCTCAAACCAAACACAAATGTTTAGAAGTATCCCTGCTTTAAGATATCCATTTAAGTATAGTTCCAATTCTTTCCAAAGCCTTTATTTCATTTACTGCTCCTCAAAGGAACACAGTGCAAACCAGTTGAACCTACCTCTCACTGTCACCCACATCACCTGATCACACGTCCCTTACTCATTCTGCCCTCAGCACTAAAACTGTTCTCCATACCATTGTCTTTCCTGTCTTTCTAAATCTGTCCGTTCTTTGAAAAGCTCATCAACTCTATCTCTGTCTTCTCTAACTCTAACCCCAACATATACACAAATTGTACATTTTGACTGTGTTGTTCTCTACTGACCAAATTCATACTTCATCTTGACTGAATTGTCTCCAGGTTCATCTCTACTGTACTATAAAAGCTGCAAGGTGGCAGGGGTAACTTCTTTTATTTTTCAAGTCTCCTACTGAACAATGTACCCTGTGCTAAACAGTGCACCAATGTTAATAAATACTTACCAATGACTGTTTATACCCTACCCCATTCCTAAGGAGCCCTAAGAGGGGGAGCTGACTCCCATTTAGCCAGAAATGCTTTTTAGCAAATTTGCTGGATGCTCACATAAGTGGTTTCTGAATTAAGATTATGCTTAAAGTAAAAAAAAAAAAAGGGAGGCTCCAATTTCTCTTTGGGATCTAAGTGCCACATTTTCAATGTGTTATAGACAATAAACTCCTCGGATATCAACTCCGATGAGAATCTTTCTCTGTGGTTCTTGTAAGTGCTACTTCTAAATGATCCTATAGAGTTCATGAAAACAAACCAACCAACCAACCATGAGTTCATCAACTTCAAAAAATATCCCAATAGCCTCACCATAGCCCAGCCCTTCCAAAAAAGCAATATGTTGAGTCCTCAATTAAGCCTGGTAAGTAATCCATTCTGACAGTGCATGCCCCCAAACCCACCCAGGACCAGTTGTTTAAGAGACATCAGTCCCTAAAACCCCAAAGGAGCAAAAAACAACTAACAGGTTCACAACTCAGGAAGATGAGTATAGTGCCCTGACCAGAATGCCAGCCCTCTCCTAAGAATACAGTAATGGCTGAGCCAGGCAGTTCACAGTTGGGTAAAGGGGCTGCCACGATAGAAAGCATTGGAGTAACTGGTTTTGCCTCCTTCAACTCTCATCTTCCTATTAAACTCAACTGCCTCAAGTTCCTGTTCTAACAAGGCATTCTAGAGCCTGTACCACCAGAACAGTCATACTCTGAAGGGTTAAATTTAAGAAAGAAAAATCTAGAACAATAGTTTAGAGGAAAATCTTTGATTAAATATTAAGATGTGAAATCTTTCCTCAAATAAAGACAATGTAGTGCCTTGCCAAATTACTTCTCTTATATCCTGTGGAACTAACATGACTCCACTGAATGCTTTATAACGGGGGTCTCCAACCCCCAAGCCACAGACCAGTACCGGTTCGTGGCCTGCTAGGAACTGGGTCGTACAGCAGGAGATGGGCAGCAGGCTCCCCGGTGCTAGCATCACCTAGCATCACCACCTCAGCTCCACCTCCGATCATCAGGCATTAAGATTCTCGTAGGAGCACTGGTCCTGGTGCCAAAAAGGTTGGGGACCACCGCTTTATAACAACTATCTAATCAACCAAAAAAAATCAATCTTTTGCTGCACTACTAGTGAACGAAATACCTCTTACTAGATCATGTGGAGAAAAAGGATTCACATCACCAGATTTCTTTTCTTAATTTGCCTCTTGATCTAGACCATATACAAAGCACTGGTCAGAAAAATACCATCTTACAACAGAGCAACTTGTCCCTCAAATAAACATAGAATTTATTTTTTAAAATTTGAGGGTGAATCCCAACCCGAAACCAGGACAGACTTAGCAGTTATATGATTATATATAGAAGAGATGCTGGGCTTAACAAGCAGCATTATTTAATCAGAAAAGAATACACAGGAAAGCCCACAGGCCCCTACCACATGAACCACCTAAAGCAGTGAGCTCTCAGCATCAGGGCTTTATTCCACCAACCAAAACCAAAACCCAGGAACCATCATCACCTCAGCAGTGTGTGGAAGACACTGTTTAATCAGTTAGCATAAAGAAAAACATATCAAGAAATCAAACACCTAGTAAAGTGTCTCAGAAAAATCAGAATTTTTAAAATCAAACAATTCTCTCATTCCCCACATGTGAAAAGTCAAAATATCACTTGGGCCACTATGGGTTGTAGATGAGGAGGTAGACAGACCATATAGACAGAAAAGACATCAACAAGATGACATACAAACAAGGTAAATAAAGTGAAAGCCCAATAACAATATTTAGGATAAAGAGTTCACCTCGTCTTTTCCCTCAGAGAGAGAGGAAAAAAACAACAACACCCCACCCAAAATATAAATGAATGAATGAATGAATGAATAAATAAATAAATGATAAAGCGGGAACCAGTTCCAAAGGTATGCTGCTGTTACTCTAAGCATGGTATACGTTTATAATGGAAGCATGGCTGGTGATATTTTGACTTTCTTTTTTTAAAATGCTAAAGGTAAAGAACTTTGTTCTTTCAACACCAAAACCAGAGCAGAGAGACAGTAGTAAATTATAAATGTGGATGAAGTAATATCCACAGGACATGAAGATGGGGAGGGGGGAGGGGAGAAGGGGTAGGTTTTGTGTTGTTGCTGTCGTCAGGAGAGCTAAGCAGTCTTAAAGAACATTCTAGGATTCTAGGTTTGCCATGAAGGGGTATCACAGATCCCAAGGCCCACCACCTACCCCTTCTCCTCTTCTCCAAGGGCACCTACCTTACTGTAAGTCACTACTGATAAGTTGTTTGCGTGACTGCTGGGGGACAGATTTACAGAGTTCTGTGAGAGTCTATTCTCATCTTGCTCGGTTTGGTCAGGAGCAGGAGCCCATGTGTTTTTGCTGATCGAGTCGAACTCGGAACCCCCAGGGTCTTTTAAGTTGTTTTCATCTGATTGTCGGTTCTTTTGGGGAGAGGCAAACGGGTTGAAGTTTCCTTCTACCTTGCGATGTGGCTGTGTGTTGAACTCCGTTTCAAAAGATGACAGCTGCTGCGTTACTCCTAAAAGTCCACCCACCTCCACACTGAGAATCACCCAGATGACATCTGAAACAAAAAGGTGACTCATGTCAATGCCAGGCATACCCTCAAGGCCCAAAGCAACCACCACCAAGAACCCCAACTGCCACCTAAACCCTAGAAAGAAATGTTCTTCTATATGCTAGTTTAGAAGCTTGCTGATAGAGTAGTCCTGTACATATGCATTACAGTTTTGGTAATGTCAAGTTCAAACTCTGGTACAAATTCAGTAGAGGTCTGTGCTAAGACCCATGAAACTATTTGTGAAAAGTTACTAGTTGATTCTGGTGCACAGCCATATCTGGAAATCATTACTCCAGAGAAAAATGATCAATAGATAGAAACCTAAAAGCTATGTTCCCAGAATTACAAGCTCTTTGTGGTTTTTGTTTTATTTCACATGTGTTTTAACTCGGAAAACTCAGGGCAGGCATGATTCTTGAGGCGGAAACTGCTTATAATTACTAAAATTGCTACTCCCCCCGCCCCCACTTTGGGCAGTTTAGAGTGACCATATATCATCTAAACTAGGTCAACTGAGAGTAAAAGAAGGAGCTATTAATAAACACCAGGACACAGGTATAAACTGGCACTAACCCTGACATATTAGGACAGATATCAATCACCCTGGCTATTTCCACGACCTATATAATGAAGAGATATAAAAAATTTAGTATGTCTCAGACTTTCTAAAATAATCCAGTTTAACATCAACTTTGCCTTTCTGTCAGATAAGGAAACGCTACTATTTACACTGAAAACATAAGAGATTTGTTTCAAAAGATGCACCACAGAACTTTTGGCCATAATTCGGTTTTTTATTTCCTTAACTGCCAAAGCTAAGGGTTCAAAGTGAAGAATAGAAAAAGTAGCAGTTTCCTTTGATGTTCAGCACCTCAATTCAGAGAACAGTGGCATCTACTTTCCTGCTGGAAGGTTTTCAAAAAGCAAGCTACAGAAAAGGCCAAGAAGCTTTTAAGTATAAAACCTGCTGAAGACAAATATAAAAAATTGTCCAGGCTCCTAAATAACTGCTGTAAGGTTGATAGAAATCAGTTAGTTACATGGAAACATAGATAACACATATGTAAGGAGGATAGTGAAGGAAATTGAGGAAAACCCTTTTGGGCTGCGATTATTCTTAATTATCAATTTGGGTTCTGTATCTGAGGAAGGAGATCTTAGGGTGCCGGATAGCCATAAATACTCAGTTTGAGGTTAGTGGTTTGGGAGCTGTATTAAGAACTAGGTTGCATCCAAACAGCTTTGGGCTAGAACCCTAGTAGGTGGAGATGCAGTGACATCTGCTGTTCACTTCTAGAATCAGCAACAGTTCACCTCCTAAATAGAAGCTAAAGCCATTAGCACTACTAACACGACTGACAGGAAAGGGCATCCATTCCAAACACATTTATCATTAAAGTAAATATAAATCTTCATGTAAACTAGATACCACAAAAGTTCAACCTGTTGATTTAACACTGTAAACCAGGATATGCAGTGTGCCACTTCACTTGGCAATCTGAGACAGTGCCAGGTATGGTGGGTCAGAGGACTCTCATTCAATGCTCTAAGTAAATCTCATAAACCAATACGATGTGGGCCTTAAAGAACAATTCAATGGCAGGCAGCCTCAGGGAGATTCATTCCATGCTCCTCTATCTTAGCCTTCTAACCAAAGCAACATTTCTTCACTCTACTGTTTATTTTTCCCAAATGAATACGCCCTGTTTTATAGTACATTAATTCGTATATGTTGTCTTCTACCTATGTGTTTTCCAAAATCCTTTTGTAAGTACATGATATATTTAGCATACTCTGCTACAGGTAATATATTTTGTCCTTTTAGTTCATGAAACAAAATGCTTAGGAGAAAGGACAGTCTTCCGAATGATGTTATCAGTATGTGAGACAAAAGACATTTCTTCCACGGCTTTGAGAACTAAAGCTTCTTTAATGTAACTCACTGGGCCTTATCATACTTAAGCCACCACACTCTATTTGCCTTGGCTACTTTTCTATACTGTTCACAGATCCTACATAGTGGCTGTAAAAGAAATGTCATTTAAGAAGCCACTGATTTTATAAATATCGATAACATTTATTCTGATCCTCCAAAGTTATTATCATGATGGATCATTATGAAAAGCAAAATATGCCTTCTACATGGTACAAATCTAGGTACTATCTCTACATATCACATTTCAGAATATGTTCATCTCATGCATGTGGCTGTGTTTAATCAAGTAAATAAAAAGGATAGTAAAGATGTGTCCAGTAAGCTTGTTTTACAGTGGCTATTTCCAATTCTTGCCAGAATGCCTTGATTACTGAGAAAGAACGGCTAGACAGCTAGTTTACTATCTCTAATGATAAAATCACAGATGTAAGGAATCTTAGGGGTCTTGTAATGGAACTGCTTCACTTCCTAGATAGAAGTGATGGGCCCAAGATCATACTTCAAGTTAGAAGCCAATCTATGATGATCAAAAACTCCCAGCTCTTACTATAGCGTTTCAGACTCATTTGTTTCTCTCAACAGCAACTTGGGAAGCCTATCTAGAGGACTAAAGCTATAGTTACGTCAGTTCTATTTCCCAGGCCATAGTAGCTTTATAACTACAGACGTATGTTCTTTGGCACCAGTATCAAATAAATGAGCCAAGAGGGTGTCCTAGAAAAGTAATTGAGAAAGTAAAACCAAGTGCCAAGCCTTGGGATTAGTAAGTGAATGGAGAAAATGGAGAAAATGATTTTAGAATGTCTTGCGTTAAGATTAATTTTTAAAAGCTCCTGAGCCAGAACTTTGGAGCTGGAAGGTACTACAAATATTATTTCATTCAACTCAACCCTTTTACATATGATAAATCTTTAAATATAAAGTATAAAGGTGGAACAATGTGGTAAAATAAATAAAGTATTGGCTTATAACTCAAAATATAAAATAAATATACATGAATCTACAGTTATAGAAATAAATGACTAAATGAGGGAGAAAAAATAAATTTCCTTACAGAAAAATTCCAAATAATATAGATAGGTACTTTTCCTTCCAAGAGGTAGGGCTTAATTCTATAAATCCTCCAACTCACCTTGAGGGTCAGTATTATGAGCAGCCCTGGACATCTTTGTGTCTGTCTCTTGGAACTACCAAGGTAATGGTGTGTGTACTACTATAAGAAGAAGGCACTTCCAACTATCCTTGCACTAATCTGCCTAATCTCAATTTCCAGTCTGTATTTCCACATTGTTCACTCAACACAGTAGCCTTGCTCCAGTGACACATGCCTAGGCATTCAGATACTTTCATTACATCTATCAACACATCATCTAGTTCAGCATCTAAGGGAGAAGAAGGTGGAGGCAGGTACCAACAAGTTCATCAGCTCCTCAGAAGACAACTCCTGATTTCTGGGGCTTAGGCTCCATTTACAGCGGAGTGACTGAAGAGGTGCTTTTTACTCAAACACTGCTTCCCTTCCCATTCTCACTCCCCATCCTGTCTTGCCACAAAAGTGTATTAGAAACTTGTTCCTTGGTTTCCGTATTATTCTCAGGAAATTTCCTTTGAAAATGTAAATGCCCCTCAAAGGAACATATTAAGTCACCTCAGATTGGGTGAGATGAGACAGTGAAGGGTCTCTGGTGCCCACAAGAGAGAGAAGGGCTCAGAAAAAAAAGTTGAAATTGCAATGAGAAAGAAACTCTTCCTACTTCACAATTTTTTAAAAGTATGCCCTATTTAATAATTATGAGCTTTTATCTAAATGGGGGGGGGGTCTTGTATAGCAATCAGCAATCATTTAATCGCCTATTTATTTATTTCAAGTCTTAAGAAACAATAATCCCTACTTCCCAAATCCAGTAAAATCTGTGCTATGGAACTTAAAAGTAAAAACATGTGAGACAAAGATGAAGATCAGCTCAGAACGAAAAAAAAAAAATAACCCTGCCCTTAACTGGGCTGGGAGGACAGATACAGATAAAGGCAGGTGCAATGTTAACAGGAAACATTGTTTCTCATAAGGTCCTTCAGCAGCTATAAAAGGCTGTAATCTCCGATCATCTCTGAATGGCTACTGCTCGCTTACTATGATGCCCCCAGCCCTCCTTTGTTACAGTCATCTATTACCAAGGATACCCAACTGCTAAACTGCCCTTGCCTCAGTACAGCACCCAAACTCTAATTAATCCTCCCTTCCAATCCTGCCTCAGCAAAAGCAGCCAATCCAAAATTGATTCCCACGTCCCTGAGCTCCTCTTCAGAATCGTTCAGCAGAAACCCAAACCTTATGAAAGCCTCTTCCTTCCTCCCTCTTATTGCAATGGAGAGATCAGGCTGTCATCATTTGAACCCTTTGTTTAATCTTAGCATCACTAAAAGCCAAATAATTTTGAAAAAGAACAAAGTTGGAGGTTTCACACTTTCAATGATTTCAATACTCATTATAAAACTACAGTAATCAAAATAGTGTGGCACTGGCAGAGAGACAGACATACAGACCATGGAATGGAGATCTCAGAAAAAAAAATTTTTTATTCATGGTCAAATGATTTTCGACAAGAGTACCAAGACCATTCAAAGGGGAAGGAGAATCTTTTTCAACAAATGGTATTGGGAAAATTGGATATCCACATGCAAAACAATGAAGATGGACCCTTACCTTACACCATATACAAAAATTAACAATGGATCGATCAAAGATCTAAATATTAAGAGCTATAACTATAAAAATCTAAGAAAACACAGAAGGAAAGCTTCGTCACATTGGATTTGGAAATAATTTCTTGGATATGACAACAAAAGCATAGGTAACCAAAGAATAAAGATAAATTGAACTATTTTAAAATTAAAATTTTTGTACATCAAGGGACATGATCAATAGAGTGAAAAGGCAAACCACGGAATAGAGAAAATATCTGTAAATGATATATCTGATAAGGGGCTAACAATAAGAATAAAGAACACTTACAAAATAAAACAAATAAATTGACTAAAATAATGGGCAGAAGATGTGAATAAACAA